GAACAAACAATTTGCACGCAAAATTGCTCGCATACTTGGAGGCAAATACGATTTGCCGTTCTAATTAAGTAATTTCGGGTGCTGCTGCTCCCGCTGTCACGCATTAAACCGCAAAATTTAATTAAACAAAAAAATGTTGGACTCACCGAGGTCACCCTCTGCCAATGGTCCGACGGTGCCGAAGAACCGCTTATCGAGGATTTGAAGAAGCTGAAGGGCAGTATCACGGACCACCGGTCTCGGACAGCCGGTGTTCATCAAGGTAACATTGATGACGGCCGTGTAATGATCGCAAGGATATTCCCTAAATAAGAAGGAAAAGAAAGAAATAAAGAAAGAAAAACAAGGCATTACTTAATTAAGTCGAGTCTGCACTTGAAGGGATACGAATTTCTTGAAACGTCGACATTAATTAACGGCTTCAAATTAGCCTTGTCAAACGCATATTACTGAAATCAATTTTTCGTCGCCGATATAGGGCATATTTAACTTACATTGATGTAAATTCAAACGCCTGAAAGTTTATTCCAATTTGAACGCAACTATGTTCAATGTCTATGTTTATAAATTCGTGCAATTAATTGTACTTACTTGGCGCTGAAAATAGTGGCAAATGCAAGGAAACAGCCATCCGCCACAGCCTGTGTACCGGTGTAACAGCGGTGCACGGTCCAATCCAGGAGAGGATCGGAATCTGGATTGCACTCCAATAGAAGCACCACGGTTTCCCTTCCGAGATTGTAAACCTGTAAAGACTCGCTTCGTGAAAACTAAATAATTCTTGTTGATATATTTTTTGGCTGAACCTTCTCTTCGTTGCTATCCAACATAACGTCGAGCCACTTGTACAAGTTACCATCCTCGGTAAGCTTCTGCGGATCGAAGCAGGGGCCGCAGCAGAGGAGGGCGCTCATAGCTTGCAGAGCAGAGAAATGCAGGTCAGTGCACTTCTTTGGGGATGGCTCTACGTCCGGCGTGGAAGCAGTCCGGATGGGCGCTCCATATTTCCCGGACCAACAGGAGAACAGACTGAAGAGTTTCTTTCGAAGATCTCGTTTCAACAGGGTTTGGCACGTGTCCACTAAGGAAAATGAACAGATTACATAAATTGTCATGAATTCACGGATTGCCGACAACTCACGACTGAAGCTCTTAATCATCTTCCTGATGAAACTGCAAAAGTGCGAAACGATCTCCTTCACGGTGGACGTGTTCTTGTCGGTTTCACTCTCCAGGTAAATCCGTGCACCTTCCATGTATTCCACGAAAGTCGGATGCAGCGTGTTCCTGTCCAACACGAAAGAACTCACGCTAAAAGTCCCGTATTGAGCTATAAGTTCGAGGACTTTAATTAATTGGATTCGCAGGGCGTCGCGTCTCCTGCGACGCCTCACGTTCTCTTGCTTCCTATCCACTGCCTCGCGGATGTAGACAACGAGCTCTTCCATTAAATCCCTAGAAGAAGCAAAACCGGATCAATCGAGTTATCGGTTTGTTTTCAGACAAAGTTTGTTGTAAGAGTTTGTACTTTAGGGCATCGCTGTTCACGTTCCCAAGGGCCATCACCGCTGCATCTCTGACATCAACGAATTCGCATCTCAGCAAAGGTACGATGAGCTTGTAAAGGGCGGCCGGCGATGCTGTGACTCCCGTGCACTTCGTATCGTTCCTTTCCGCATTCAAACTATCCGGTGAAGAGCTGCGAATCACCAAAACAAAAAGCAGGAGCACGTGTGCCCAAAATGAAAATAAAATACGAAGACTCGTTGTAATGATTCATGTTGTTTTTGGTACAGTCGAACAAAAAAAAAAACTTGAATAATATGTATTACTTCATTCTTTTTTTTTCAACAGAGATATGTATAACAGGGGCCCTCGTCAAATAACAATGAAACTACACAAAAAAAAATAAAGTAGGTAAGTAATTAAACAGATATTCTAGTCTACCATTACTAAATTAACACTATGTATGCAGAACGAAATAAACCGGTGAGAGGATGTGATTCGTTTTCTGAATTGATTTTTCGCTCTTTTTTTTTTCTTTTTTTTGTTATGACGATAGAAATAAGTAAATAAATAAAAGGGTTTAAGATATTTCTTGATTTGCTTGTTTTATGTAATAATAAAAATGATGTGGATATATGAGATTCACCTGGTCCGTTTGTGTTGTCTCCGAATGGCGGAGAGAGGCAGAGTGAATCTGCCGGTGGATACCAGACCCTGCGCCTGGACCAAGTTCTCAAGACTTGTACTGAGATCACTTGTCTCTACAACACCTTCCAGTGAACTTTTTCCAAGAGAAACCAATCGAATTAATAATAATAATTAAAAAAAAAACGTTAACCAGATTCCACAGAGAGTAAATTAAAACAGAGAGAAGTAATAAAAATTAATAATAAACAAGAACAAAACAAACAAAAAATTGTAATTAAAGTGTAACAAGAGTCCGGAGGAGACCAAGCACGTAATCCTTTCTCGTATTCGCATTGAAAAAAAAATAGAGAGAGAGAGGAGAAAAAGAAACAAAACGTATATAAACCATTCCCCCAGTAAACCGCGCGACGTTCAAACAAATAAAAGACAGAAACAAAGTAAACTTTAAAAGAAAAATACATACATGTACCATGTCGAAACTTTGTTACGAACAAGAGTAATAATAATAATAGACATTATACACAAAAGCACATAGAGACTCCTTGTTTTCGGGGAAACCATAGCGAGTAATTACAAAACGTCTAAAACAGAAACAAAAAATATGCATTGTGAAAACATGCATTCATTTTAAATGAAAATAATGAATAAAACACGTGTTTTAAAAGAAGCATTATTGTTTTTAAATGATTTTATATGAAAACACTTTTCGTATATAATTGTGTAACAAAAAAGAATCAAACCCTTCAAACGAAAAGTTTAATTGTACTTCGCTATGTTTTCACCGAACATCGGATTTACAGGGCTACTACTTTATAATAATTACCAAACGCTCTGAGAACAAACAGAAGGCAGGTAGAAAATGTAAACGTTAATTACTGTTCTCAATTGAAATTAATTATTTATAAAAAAAAATAAAATAGAAAACATTTAAAGCCGAGAAAGACGTAACGCACATTTTTAAGCTCATTTCAAGCAACGACAACGAACATTTCTATATACTAAGTCCTAATCTAAGAGAGAGAATCGATCGACGCAGACATCTACATCTTACAATGTGTACTTTAATAATTGAATCTACTTCAGTTCAGACATACGCAATAATTGATTAAAGTATTTCCTGCATTAATGCAAAGAGAAGGAGAAGTTTAGGAAGGAGATTCAATTACTCGCATATGCCCTGTATTTTTAAGCTGTGTAATTCATATGTGTGTTCTGTGTTTTAAGTTTTATTTTTCTTTTGTACAGAAAGCATTAGTACTTACCTTAAGCTGAGATCGGGGCTGGCGCAACGCACTATAGGACTGGGCACCGGAGGGACAACGCGAAAGGCGAATGTTATGTAGTTCTTCCATACGTGAATGTAGGCGTCTCTTTCGTTGACGGGCTTCTTGATAGCTGCTGAACTCCTCAGTAAAGAAGCGCGATTGTCGTTTACCGGCCTGCAGATAACAGATTATATAGAAAACATATAGTTTTTGGGATAAGTATTTAGTATCTTACGTTGGATCTATGACAGGGTACAGAGCGTTAAGTCTGTAGAACACCAAGGGCCAAGAGTGGGCAACTGCGGTCGGGCAAAAACCGAGAATGCGATCTCTCTCAAGGAAACCGAACAGTAGGAGACTCCAAGGATCATTGAAATTCACCGTATTCGATCCGCTCTTTAGGTTCGCATCCTCGTGCAGTCCTGCCGTCCAAATGCACGTGTTCCGCTCCACCAGCCATTGCAGATCGATGCTAGCCACGGATTGAACCAACGTCTTCTCGCTCGCTGGTAAAAACGGGATAACCTTCTCCACGACCTGCGGTAGGCATTGATCAATGACGTCCAATATCGCCATCTCTTCGGTACAATTCAACAGTTTCTGCAGAGTTTTGATATCGCGCAGGATGTGCACCGATAATTTTCTTGGGACCAAACGGTAAGTGCAAAGCATCACCAAGGCGAAAGCTTCGACCAAATGGAGCACCGACGAAAGCGGTTCCGGTTTAGCGTTGTCCGTCCTCTTCGTCGCCTTCGGATCTCGTGTCGCGCTCTTCGTGGTTTCCGTAGCAGCTGCTGGCTCTTTACCCAATCTCATGCTGGTGCTCATGTTACCTCCGGGAGATGAGAGAGCGTTCTTCCAAGCCGAGAGCAGACTGAGCAGCATCCTGACGCCGCTATCCACTAGCTGCGGGAAGGTGTCCAATACTTCTTTCGCCATGAACTGAGTGAAACCCCAGATAACGTCCTGACGCCAATCGGGGAAATCCATGACCAGAGTTTGTAAACTCTGGAACGCCAATCCTCGCAACTCCTCGTCCATGTGCACGGTTAATCTGGACAGCAAATCCACCAACTCTACGCCGCTCATACCATCAGGGATCAGTCGTGGTACTGCTGCAACGCAAGTCCTGAAAAGATCGATGCGCGGCTTTCTCTCTCCTGTGATCATCTCGTCCGGTTCCTTATTAACATTCTGCGTACTGGTCATCATCAAAGGTCTTCCGTACTGCGCGTCCAACGCTCTCAAGATGTCCACGAAAACGCGACGCACATGCGGGAAATACGAACTCATCCCGATCGACCTCGCAGTATCATCCGTTAGCATTTTATTTAGGAAAGTTTTCCTCACTCTGAGCGTGTTTCCGCTGGGCAATACTCCCATAGACCTCGGCATCGGTGGTTCGCCTTCCTTTTGCTGCAAACTATCTGCAACCACGAGGAACGCCCTCAAACCTATGCTCATCCTCTCCGGTGTGAGGATGATCTTGATGTTCCTTCCCACCGAAAGCAAATCGAATACGATTTCGCGCATCGCGAAATCCAACCGTTCCTGCGCTATAAACTGAATGATCTTGACGAAGATGTTTAGAGGCGTATCTCTGGGAACGACGGCTTTGGATCCTTTGGGGAAGAGCGAGTTGACTATGCTCTGCAAACGAGATAAAGTTGCGGAATTGCTTTCGCATTTGATGCGAATCATGTAAACCCATAACAAACGGTACAGCGACTCTGAAAATGTATACAAGTAAATAACATTTTGACTCGTTAAAGTAAAAACAAGAAAATACCTAAAGCCACACGGCACATTTTTGGATCTTTGTTCTTCAAGTGCGACAGGCACATGGCAAGGAAATAATGCCAATTCTGCAAGAAGAATTGCTTCTGGCTGACGCACAAAAGGCATGTGATCAGCGGAAACAAGGCTAGCCTATGCTTCGATTTAGTGCTAGCATCTAGTGTTTGGGCATAAAGCATTTCAACGAAATTCTTTAAGCACGGTACATTGACTTCGTTTTTAACAGTCTGAAATGAATATGAATAGATATTGTTTTCAAATTTAGACTATATTCAAGCAAAATGTGTCTATTTGATTTGTGATTTGTTTTGGCTCACCGCTGCTACTGGAACTAAAATTTCTACGAACAATCCGGCCAAAGCGTGTTTAATGTCCTTATCTTTGACATCGAGAAAGTATTGGGCACACTCCTGCATGAACTGGAAGGAGGCTTCGAACTCTTCTATCGGTACCATCTTTACCCGAAAGAATTTCATGCCCATGAGCAAGCTTATGATGCTCTGCGTTGTATGCGGACTGGGATCCTTTGACCTCAACTCTTTAAGTTCCGCCATAAATCTGGTTCTCACCGACATGAATCTGGATTGAGCTAAAGCACCAATCACCTCGGCGTAAAGATCTGCTATCATATGGATGTTTGCAGAATTCGGACTCGATTGAATACTGAAATATATATATATATATATACAAAAAAATTAATAATTAATTATTATTGAATAAAATCTTGTTTTACCCTTCTCTGTATTTGAAATGCTTAAAAGCGATGCTCTCTATATACTGCACGAGATCTTCGTGTCCTGGATGGAACGAAAGTTGCTTTAGGACTTCGATTAAAACTAAGCAGAAAAGGAATTCCACGGCCAAATCTCTGCGTTCCTGCTGGATGTTCGACTCGCTTCTCTCAACGGTTTCAGTTGTATTCCCAGACACCATATAAATGATGCTAGAAACAAAGAAACAAATTTATTTAAAAACATTTTTTTTTCTGGATAGAATTGAAACTACCTTTTTCCCTTTTCTACTTTTTTCTGTTCAGCGTTTGCAACCTCTGTGATTTGCCTTTGATACCATGAAAACAGGGCACGCAACAACGAAGGTAGACAGTGCTCAGCGACGGATCCAAACGAGCTTAGTAGTTGGTCGAATAGCGGATCTTCACCTCTTTGCAACACTCTGGAGAGTAATTTATCCTGCAAGAAATTGAATTTGAAGGTATTGCAAGAAGTGTCGTTTAGAAAATTACGTGATGATCGTATATGACGGACTCGATTTTCCTTTCGGCTTGCAGAGTGAAATCCGCGAAGAGCGTTCTCATCACGAATTCTCCTGGTCGAATGTCCATGTCTATGCTGGGTCCAACGCTCGGATGCGGCGATCTTTCTTTTGTAGCGCCCCATGGTAGAAGCGTACCTCTATTGCTCGAGGCAGATGTGGACGTAGTGCTTAGCATGCTATATCTGGCATCAGGTTCTGCGATTAAATTGACGCGCGTTTAGAACGGTTTCAATGGTATCAAGTAAAATTGATCACCTGGTGAATTGGCAGTGGCCAGTAGAGTTGTTGATGTTCCACCTTCACTGGAAGTGGAACTGATGTGCACTATGGGTCCAGAAATAGAGCCCTTCTCTGTGGTCCCAGAAAGTGAAGTGTGTCCACTGTGTGTGTCTGAGCCAGAGCAGACACTGTGAGAGGATTCAACATCGGAATCATGGGCACTCAGTGCAGTATCTATAAAACATGAAGCACAGCAACATTGAAAGCAACTTCAGTGGCACTAACACAGTGAATACCATTCTTAGGTCTGAATTTGAGCCACATGCTTTTATCTCTGTGGAGCATCAAAACATCAACTTTGAGAAGGATGTACTCAATGTTTTATCAAAGAGGTGATTATTGGAAAGTTAAATAAGAGAGGGAGGACAGGTGAAGTGATATACATCTGGATTAAACAGACTGAGCAAACAAGTGAAGGTTGTGCTGGCAAATTCTTCCTAACAATTAGCAAATTAGCAGCTCCTGTTCGAATTAGAGTATGAGTGAAACCAGTAGTACATACCTGAGATGTTGTCCTGTGTGGGATGTTCGTTGCCAGTGTCAGCCATCGTTTAATTCGCTTTTTATTCTATTCTAGCATAATGTCTGCAATAAACACTAATGTAAAGAATGTAAATGAAAGCATTAATCATAAGCAATTGTAATCTTAAGACTACATTCAGTGAACACACACACAAAAAAACATCAGTATTACAAATATACAGGTTATAGATCTTCTTTGGACCTCACCTAATCACATCTTTGCAAAGCGGAGAACATTTGCGAATATCATCCAATTTAGCCCTTTAAATACTGTTGCTGCTGCTTCCTATTGTTTGTTTAATGATATATTATAAAACCAATTGGTATATTGACGTTTCTCATAGCAGCACCCATCAGCATTTGTCAAATTACAGCTGGGTTGCGGTTTTTTTTCAACATGATTTGCATACCGATACTTCTATTAAATATCGTAACTAAATACACATTTGAAATATGATTAACAAACAATTATATTATCAAACGGGAATATCCAACATACACCTACCCCCGTTGATTACAATAGTGTTACATTGGCAACCAAATGTACATTATATTTAAAATATTTGAAAAAGTTTTGCAGGTGTGGTTTATTTTTCAAAATTACAAATAACATACTTTTATATAACATACAATACCAATACCAGTGAATAGTTTTAATTTGGTTGCTTAATGATGAATATGTGACTCTGTTTTTCAAAGCTTAAATGTAAATAAGAGAAACATTTTATTTAATATTTATTTAGAAAAAAGAACGTTAGGAGTAAATATATACAAGTTACATATAAAAGTTATATAATTTAGATTTGCCAAACATGCTAATAAAAAAATAAGAGTTACGGTAAAACTCTTGATATACGGGATGAAACGCATCTTAAAATACGTAAATGGATTAATGCAAATTACAAGAACAAGTTAACAGATTTTAAATTATTTCCTAAACAGAAAACGAGTTAAAATATCACAAGTTAAAAATAAAAACAGAAGTAAAATGGTAACAAATCGTCGTTTTGGTTTGTTCATACAACCTATAATGCTGTACGTATCGTACGTTTCGTTGTCGTTGCTGCCCAACACATTGCAGTATTTACGATGATGGCCAATAGCACGGCACGGTCATTCCGGATCCGAAGATGGATTTGATCGCGCTGTACGTGGAGGCTGTTCCACCCACAAGACCGATCACGATCAATTCCCAAAGGTAAATTCTTATGTAACCTGGGATGTGCCTTTCTGGCCAGAGCGGATTCTTCTGTCCGCAGAGCTTCATGTAGAAATAGGGCGGAAAAACGAACGTCAGGAGAGTGATCGTCGAGCCACCGACCAAAGAGAGAATTTTTCCGAACCTAGGTATGGTTTCGCCGATTACGACCATGGTGAAGATGATGCACGTGCGAAGAATGCTTCTCTTCCAATGATAATCTAAAAATGAACAAAAACAAAAAAAATAATGCTAAAGTTCTATCGATGATGCTAGGATAAACTTACGTCTGGGCACTTTGAAGATTTCTTCCAATTCCTGACACACCGGATTAATGACAATCAAGAAAGCTAAAACCAGATGAACTCCCATGAGAATGTTTGCAATTGTGACGAGAGATGTTTTCGACAACGACATCGATATGTTTGCTGTTACGTCTTCGCCGTAAATAAAATAACCTCCAGCTGTTACCGGTAAATATAAGATTAGTATAACTAAAAATAAAAGAAATTAGTACATATATATAGAATTATTTGCTTAAATATCATTAAATACCAATGAAAGCTGCTGTGACGCTCGTCGAAAACTTCTGCTTATTCTCCATATCGTTCTGAATGGTTGGGAAGGTGGAAGCTCCTCCGAAAGCAAAAAGCAACGTTCCGAAAGAGAGGAAGAAATCTTGAAATCCGTGCACTTCGTGGCGCGTCGGTACAGTCTTATTCATCCCGTCCATCACAATTTGCGTGAAGAACAACACGCAAGCTACAGCTGTCGTCAATAAGGCCCCGACGCCGACGATCCTAAAATGTTAAATACGTATTGTAATGCAAAGATCATAATCGCAAGAAAGGTAACAAGTATAATACCTGAATTCTTTAGGAGATCCCAGCCACATCGCAGGCGTGAGCACCGCGGCGATCAGCAAAAACCAGACGCAGAAACTGGTGCGAGGAAAGTGATCGATGAGAAGCTCTTGGAAGATCTGCGAGGAGAGCAGAAGGTAGACCGTTCCAGCACCGAACAGCGTAAACTGTATACAGCCGGAGACCAGAACGCTGATCGAAGAATCGAATAGTAGAGAATATTGTATTTTGCAATTTAGTTATCTCGCTCACCTGCCCCATTTCCCCACGGCTCTGTGGGCTATCGTCGTGTAAGGATTCCTGGTGCGCCCCCTGTGCTCTGGGTATCGTTCTTCTATGATATCCCAGCACGCCCCCAACCTTGTGCCACCGTAACCCGCATTAAAACAGAAAACAACTAAGATAATTAAACCTATCCAACCTGAAAAATAAACAATAAACACGTTAATCTAAGTACAACAACAACAACAACAAAAATGTATATTAAAATGAAACATGAAAATAAAAATAATAAACTTTACTCGTTGTCATTTAGAATAATAGCAAGTAAATGAAATAAAGATATCAACTTTATATTTGAACTGAAAACGAAAATCTGAATGGTTTTATCGACTTTCGACTCTTTTATTGATAGAATTATAAAAGAAATTAATTGATGTTTTTCTTATGATAATGGATGTCGTCGAGATTTAACATCGAACCACTTCGAACCAGCAAAGATTAAGAATTTTCGAAAAATAAAGTTATCGCGGCATTACCGAAATCAATATATTTTTGGAATGTCAGAAAAAAAGCAAATACGGATAAAACGTACACGTGTGCTGACAATTGTTGGATTTCAACTGTAACTAAGGTAACAAAAATGAAATGAGTCATTTCCTCGTGATGCGAACTGAAGAATTCCGTGCAGCTCGATATACTTTTGATAATAGTATTTAAATAGTGGCGTTCTACATTCGATATTTACAAAAAAATGTTATGATGTAACTGAACTGCTTGCTTTCGTAGCAACAGTGCGCATCTTTGTTTGGTTCAAATTCGAATGTAAACATTACGACGACGACGACGATGATGATGATGATGAAGAAGAATTTTATCGTAATTAGTGTAGGAATTCCAGCCTATCTCGCTACAACAATGCAATAAATTTTAATTACGATTCGACAAGAAACCTACAATCGTTGGGCATTCGCTCCTTTATTCAGATAACAGACTATTATGACTGGTCTACTAGTTACTCTATCAGAAGAGGAGGAGTCGTCAACAGTAATCGCACTACTGTCCATCACGCGGCAATTAATTGACTTTGATTACCCCACCAATTATAAATATCCAAAAATTTTTCCTTATTTATTCATTGCGAAGCGCGAAAGTACAAAGCGAAATATAGATAAAACTAATCTGACTACTCTATTCGGTTTATCTGGAGAAATAAAAAAAAAATTGAATACATAAATATTATATATATATATATAGATGAAGGTCAGAATTTTCGTCCAGCGAAACAAGTAACAAGTAAAAAAAAAAAAAACTCATATTCTGGTTAAGATTAGAATAGAAACGCATGCATCATTACGAAACACTGACCTCATCGCCACCTCCACTGTACACACATACTTTAATTACACCTTCCAAGGTTGCGCGTCTAGCGAAACGAAGAACATCGCAATCTGTTTCGTATTACAATTCTTACAGGATGATCCTGTACGTATCGAAGAATCAATTACCTGAGTCAACTATGGCCTTCGGCAATGCCAAAACACCGCTTCCCGCCATCTCTCCAGCTATGAAGACGGCCGCCGAGAAAACGTTGAGCCCCTTCTTTTCCTTTTGTGTGTAGGACACCTCATCTGTACCCGCATTATTGGATCCAGTTTGCACCTAAAACAATAAACAACAATTGATTATAATTATATTATTTATAAACAAAACAAATTGCTTCATTTCCAGAAGTAAACATTAAAAATAAAGCAGATTATTAATGCGACAATAATTATATTTGGAGAATTCATCATATTTAAATCCAGAAATCATTGCAGCAGTTTCATGTTTTCATACTTCTATTTGATAATAAACAAATTGATAAATAGAAGAAAAAAGATGCTCCATCAATGTATTACGATTGTTTTGTAAACTAGTTTTCTTTTTCTTGTTAATATGTAATTTCACTGGATTAACCTTTTTGGTGCAGACATTCAACTGAGTGTAGTCCTTCACCATTTCAAACCTAACGCACCAACAACAATCAAATGAATGAAAACTGTAATAACAAAATAATTGGTCCGATTAATGTAATCAAAGCTCTTCCTGATAAAGCAGACTCTTATGTGTGTCTCTGTGTGTGTGTGTGTGTGCATGTGTTACTTCATCTATCTGCTCAGTGTTGAATAACAAGTCGACTTACCCGGTCAGTGTGTAACCTCCTTATTGGATCCTCAGGATCATGGGTGGCCCTTGCCCAGATGGGTTCCCTGGAGCCCCCCGTGGAATTGTAGTTCCTCATCATCAATCAGATCAATCAAAATAAATTCTTTGTTATTGCAATAGTTAACTGTTGCTATCACAGGTCATCGCGTTTCTCCTTTTGTTTTGTTTGTAGAGGATATTTTAATAATTTGAACTTGACCACAACGAATGGTGCGAATTAACCGCCAGCTGTTTCCTTCATCCCGCACTGATTCGTTTCATCTAGAAACGACCATGTCCATTTCCATAACAAACTGCTGCTGCTGCTGCTGAGCACCACCACAATATTCCCGCATGACGACTGTCATCAGAGCAATGGGTGTACGTTTGGTTGCCCGCATAACGAAATTCAAATAAACGTAACGAGCTTACGCAACTCACGAATCCGTTCACTTTTCTTAAAATTAGAAACTTCTTGGAATAACCCGAATACGTAACGAAAACGTTATGCAACGATTGCTCCCTTTTCTCCACGCACCTTATGAAATGATCATTAATTTTACAGTAATTTCTTATCTTTTTCTTTATTGGTAACGAAAACTATAAGTAATTATAACACCTTTTCCATTCGTTATTCGGAAGATAACAATGCATTATTAATACAGGTTCAAATCTCTTAGAGAATATTTTAATCCCTTTCTTTTAATACAAAATATTATAACAAAACGTGCATCATCAGTCTTTAATTTCGACTTCTCGTTTCTTTTTTTTCTTCAATTGGCGACCAGCTTTCCCAGAACAGGTATATCCTGAACGCAGTTTCCGGCGTAGTCGAAAACGTCCTTTGCCGTTTCGAAATTCGAGATTACCATCCAGATTAAGCCCAAGTAGAAAGCCAAAGCTAAAGCGCGATCGAGAATGTACATGCTGAAAAAAATAAAATATAGATGTATATATAATTCAATTAAGTTTGATGTACTAGATGCTTACAATGTTTGTTGTCTTCTGCATCTGGGCAAGGTTTTCGGATCCTCCTTCATGCAGAATTCGCGAGCTCCCAATATGCAATATTTGAAGTACTCCTTGACGGAGTATTTTCTGAAGTCCATGTGGAATATCTCTTGATCGACGGGACTTAAATTATCTTGTAGAGATAGGAAACGTTCGCTGGAAAAGTTCCACTGACGAGTCGCGAAGAATTGCAGCAATTCCAAACCGTCCTGTATCTTCGTTTGCACTCGAACCATGCTGAAAGATATATACACGATTTGTTAATAATATATTTTCAATAAGTAAGTTTGATGATTTACAATCTCTTTTGCCTGAAGATGAACATCAGACCATCGATTAAGTAAGCTGGAATCCAGTGGGAGAAGATGCAGTAGAGGCGATGAATAAAGTACGAAGCGCGAATGTCGCCATCCGGATACCAAACCATCATTTCAAATGGATATTGGTAAATTAGACTTCTTCCGATGTCCAAGACTTCGCCCCAGGTTAACTTGAAGACTCCGTCATTAGTCATGTTGTATACAGGCACTTCTTTGGGTCTACAAAAGAAGATTATTAACATTTCGTTTACTGATGGATTGATTGTGGTTACTTTTCAGGCAACGATCCTAATTTGTATGCTACCAAAATCATGGCGTTGATGGCAATGTCGACTGGAACGACCTGAGCCCTGTTCTCTCCTTTGCAATGCATTGAACGCAACACACCTTTTCCTGCTGCAACTAATAATCCCATAGGACCGTTCAAGCTGTCCACCCAACCTCTAATAGGCTCAGAAAGAGCTGGAACAACTGTAACAAAAAAGAAAAAAAGAAAAATGAAAATTAATATTTATTTTTTTTGCAAAAATGTTGTTGCATTTACCAATGGATGGACGTACGATGGCAACCTTCATATGATCAGATTCATTGGCTACAAGCGTCTCGGCCAATCTTTTACTGTAGGTGTACGTGTTTGGATGTGGTTTAATCAAAGATTCTGTTACGTCCAGCAAGGCGTCATCCTTCATCCACTTGGTAACATCAACAACAGCTCTTGGATCGTCGGGGCATTTATAAACCTAAAGCAATATAATAATTAAAGTATTCTTAAAACTATTTAAAATAACTTACTTTTTCTTCGAAAACGTCGATATCAGCTGAGCAAAATGCGGTGCTCATGTGGATGAAAGCATCCAAATGCTTGATCCTCTTCACCAAATCGACGACCCTTTCAGTTCCCGCAGTGTTTTGTTCGATTGCATCTTTGAGGATGGCCTCCAGTTTGAGTGTAGCAGCGCAATGAAACACCACGGAAGCATTGTTGATGATGAGCTGTTGCTCGGCTTCGCTCAAACCCAAATTTTCGCTGACCAAATCACCGTGCACAGGTTTCAATTTCTTTATGGCCGCAGGATTCGAATCGCGCAATCTCTTGAACATCTACCAAAAGAGAGAAATCTTAAAATATTCAGATTGATGGCATTTGATGGCTACTGACTGGCAATTTGAACATCTCCTCGATACGTTGCTCTGGGTTCTTTCCGCGCTTCGAACGCATCAGGATGTAAATATTGGCGATGTCTTTGCAGGAGAACAGCAGCTTTTCAACGAGGACTTTACCCATGAAACCGGTGCCTCCGGTTATGAAGATGCTCCTTCCTTTGTACCATTCTGCTACAGCGCTCTTATCGTGATCCATTGCTAAACAACAACAAAAAAAACACAAGAAATTTACTTATATTATCTTTTTTTAGAAACAATGATTAATTTGTTCTAGTCTGTTTTTTTTTTCATAAAAGAGAGTTCACATCTTAAATTGTAATTAATTATTCTTAAACTTCTTACAAATGATTTTATACAAAAAAATAACAAAAAAATAAAAACCAATGTTTAAGCTTAAGTTTATCATATCAAATTCAACTTTCGAATCGATGTACTTTTTGATTTTTGTTCCGCGTGAATGGTCAAGCTTCAAATGGAAGAATGAAAAGAAAAAACCTTTACGTAAACATTGACATTTTCTCTCCATGATTAATCAATTTTGGTGGGCCGTTCCTAAAATACGAATGATGCAACGTTTCTCTACGTCAAGCTTTCCTGAGTTATAATATTATTAGTATTTTCAATATTCAAATTTGGAAAATAATGCAATTTACCAATTTCGGATACGATCTTATTTCTTCTGCTGCTGTGACTTTCCCTGCGTCGCGCATTCATTATTGGAGCGCGGACAATTCATAACGTTTGTCTCAACAAACGGTGAAAGTGAACCAATTTATAAGACTGCGTTCATTCGTTTGAAATCAAAAAAATAAAATGAATTCCTTCATCTTGATTTTCAAATTGATTGAAATCCAATTGTCTTGTCGGTATCAAGTATATTTCCAATCAATCTGTAACAATATTTCTTACGAGAGTTGATGTTGCAAGCTACAATTAAAATGTATATAGAACGGACAATTATTTACGTAAATAATAATTGGAAAAAAACCTTGATTCTTTAAATAGACTTATAAACAAGTTTAATATTTAACTTTATTAAGTCCTGTTTCTCTTTCTTTCTCTCATCTTGTCGGTGTAATTTACAAAATTCGGTTAACCTAAACGTAATCCGGTTTTTAAATTCTAATGCTTACCTTTGCGCAACCGCTTAGATATTTCGAGATTCGTGATTGAAATTGAGAAAGCCGTTCTTCAGTTGCTTAGTTTTATTCATCAACAATAATAATTACCGAAGAGATCTTTCCCTTGGTTAGAGATTGCTTAGATTTCAATTAATTACAATTTCAATTATTATTTCGTAATTAATCACAATTATTAATTACTCTTTGCGGAAAAAAACACAACAATAATTATGATATTTTCTAGGATGTCATTAAGTTTAATTAACATACGGCAAATATGATGATGATGCAGTTACCTTCGAGGAATGCATTCGCTAATGCAAGAAAGTTAAAGTCCATCGTTTTAAAATGGAATTAATAGTGGTGATGTACGCGCCTATGTATATATTTTAATTTTATTTTTGCATAATAAGGAAACTCTTTCACTTGAAATTTTTATTTTTTTTTTGGTTTTCATAATAAGGAAGAACGTTTAAAACATTGTCACTGTTTATATATACAACGAATGTTACATTCCTTTTTCTTAACGAGTTATAGAGAATTGATATAGCTTGTTTTTTTTTTTTAGAAACAACGCGGTGACATAATTGTATGCTGTGTTTCCGTTTCCATTCGCAAATTGGAATTCGTTAGTGGGTAATTGGTAATTTTCTTCTTCGTTTCCTCACTTTCCGTTTTAATTGATTCGCGTTAATTGGATTCATCGATGTCGCAGTTGCGAGTAGTTTATTGGTGTTAAGTAAGTTTCAATTAGATGAAAGAATGGCGATGTTTAGACAAACAATACAAAGCAATTTATGTAAGAACATTAGATTACGTAATTCCATTAATTAATTTATTTACTTGGAGCAATAATTTAAAAAAAAAACATGACAAATTACACAACTTTTTTTTTATGTTGAATAATCTAATCTAAGCATACATCTTTATTATTATTTAGTTTCGTAGTTTAAGAAAGTTGAAGAAGCTGCGTCACGGTATCTAATTGAATTGGAGATTCTTCTTTTTTGTTAGATTTAAATTGATTTGTTAGAGTAATAAAATCACGCAATAATTTTCTGATTGCAAAATTCAGCAATTCTCGTGTACATTAAAGAACTGTTAATAAACCTTACCTAAATATTGACATAATTATAGCTTAAGTTGTTGGTTCATTAAGTAAATTTAAAGAAAGTTTCTGAAAAAGTATATACAATAAATCGATAAATCCCAATTTTATATTTCATTTATGAAACAACAAATCATGTAATCTTATTTGAAAATAATCATTTTTGCAGTCTTGTATACTTGTTGAATGTTGTCAATAAATCTATGAATCTCTAGTTTATATTTTGCTGATGAAACAAATCCCGTAATCATGTTTAGAAATAATCCAAGAATGCTATGAATTTAATTAATGTCATATATAAAAGATGGCTTGAAGAAAGTTTCTCAAAACTTCATTTAAATATATTTTAATGCTGTAGTGTAATCTAAACGCACACTCATTTTGTATATTAACGTTATAAAAGTAGAAAGTGAATTACATGTCTACACATGGCACATTCCTATTATATTAAATATGGATATTTTTTGTTTTTGTAAATTTCATCGAAAATTATTTATGATATTTAATTAACCAAAAAAAATATTACTTACCAAAATAATGAAATGAAAATAACTGAATTCGAATTCGAAACTGTATTTCTTTTGTTGTTGTTGTTGAGAACTTCCACTTTGTTGTGGAAAGCTCCGATCTGCAGGAGCGTGAATTGTAAACTGGCGGACTGACCTTTCTTTCAAACTTACTTAATCTAAATCGCACCGGATCTCTCCATTTCTTTCGCTCGCACCGCGAAACTGGTTTCGGAAACGAGAAAGACGCACAATTGGCTTATTTCCTTCAATCGGCGAGGAACGAGGAAGAAAAGGATAAATAAATAAAAAAAAACACATTTGTTTCGTTTGTTGTGCACTTGTTTATTTTAATTATTGTTTTGTTTGAGGCTTTCCAGTCAATGGGTAGCTTGTTTTTTTTTTGGAGTACGTCCGTTTCTATAGTAATGGCTCAACTTCAACGAATACAATTAGTTTGTTTTTTGTTTTGTTTATGCGTAAATTCATTAATTGTGTAAAACAATGTTTTGTGTAATAAAATATAAATATATGTAGAAACTGGAGCAGGAAGAGTATACAGTTTAAGTGATTTAAGTGTTTAGGTTTAATTTTTTTTTAATTGAACTTTGGTAGCTTAAGGAGAATACATCTCAACTTTGAACGCAAGTTTAAAGAATTTAGAAGAATTGTAAAGGTAAACATTGACTATTATTTGTTAGTTTAAATTAGATTGGTTTAAAAAATGTTATGTCTAGTTTTTTTCGTTTTTGAATACTGTTAATTTGAAGTTTGACAGTTCACGAAGGTTAAGCAACGCCAACTTCGATCTGAATATGAAAATCTCAACTTGGAACAAATTTAATGGAATTAGAAAATTTGCAATGGAAAACATAATAATTTGAAAAACTTGAATATGAAAAATCTAAATTTCGAAATTTACTAGCAATAATTTGAAAAGGAATTGAAAAACCGAAACATACAAAATTGTAATTTTCTGTCCGAAGAAAACATTTAAAACATGAGTGTTTTTTCATCTTAATTAGTCAAAAAAACGCAAAGTTATGTATATAATTAGATTGAATAATTGAAATGTGTATAATGTGCAACTCTTTGGAGAAATGAGAAGAATTTATAACATGAAGCTGCTTAAAACTTGTGTAATTTTCATATTAATTAATTGATCAATTGTTATTTTGGAAACTGCTCATAAAATACTTGATTCATCGAAAGAAAATAACAAAGTTGTTGTTGTTATTAAAAGAATAATTAAGTCTATTTTTTTTATTCTGTCGTTAAGTGTGTTTACATATATCATCACAACCATTTAATTATTTATTTTTAAAATTCGTTCTCGAAAGTAAAAATACACAAATCTTTCTTTATTCGTGTACAATATGTTACCAATTAATTGTAGTGAAAGAAATCAGTAGAAAACTAACTGACTATGACTTATTAATAAAAAAAAATAGAGTAGATAATTTACGCTATTGTTTAAAACAAATTGTAGTTTGTAAACCGAAACGAGCACAATCTGCTAGAACAATGAATTTCACATACATTTAAAAGCCGTTGATATTTTAGTTATTAATATAAGTTCTCCATCAATAAATTATTTTTTCTAATAATAGAAAAATTGTAAATTCATTAAAATATATTTAAGGAATAAAAAAGTATTGATTTATTCGAACTTTAGAGGTATTTTGCTTTTGACGAAGAAAATAAATATTCTTTTAAAATATTGCGAACACGATTATAGAATATTTCTTAGCAATGCATCAATCTAATTTCACTTTTACTTTTCAATCTCCTCTCCGAGTCAAATATCATAATATGCAGATTATCCAATCGTTCCAATTATAAATGCATCTAAGCTCTCATTCACAAGTCCAATTTGTTCTTTCTTTCTTTCTCTATAATTATTTTATATTTATGTAACTCCGAATTGCGGAATTGCTTTTCTGTTCAAATGCAAAGGAGGCTCTTTCGAATGTTTTTCTTTGTGCACCACATAAAAGGTTTTCTAATAGAGAAATAATTGATGGACCTAATACTAATGCGGTTATAATAATTGCCACTTATGTGGAAACGCACATTTCCTCAAGCTTCGCTTTCATGTTTTTCCAGCTACATTTATCTCGAAGGCGTTGAACTTAACGCGTTGCGAAATTTGTTATATACATATATATATATATAAAAAACGAGATCAATTATTGTGGATTTGTTGTATTTTTTTCTCTTTCGAAACTCTTTCAAACTTTGCAAATGTTTTCTTCTTAATGGAAATGCAGTTGCAAACGTTTTAAGGTATTTCAAATATTTAGCGCTTACATAATTAATGGCTTGCATGTATATCTCTTGTGTAATTTGAAGAGAAATAAAAATCGATGCCAGATGAGAAGAACAACAACAAGGTGAGATTGAAAAATCTTTCTTACGATATAATTGCTTTTCTATTCGATCGTCGGCCTCCTCTCCTCTCTTCGCCTTTCGTAATCCTCTCCTTTTGGTCAAGTGAAATGTTTTGCTCATCGGCGCGTTTCCATTTCGAGATTATGTTTGCTTTGATTTTTTCTTTTTGACAAGATTATATAAAATCTAACATTTACACTAAAAATAAGTATTTATATTCTGATGAAGATTTGGCAAAAATTAAAGTTCAAAAATGCACTGTTTTCACGTTTTAGTGATTTTATACAAAACTATAATAGTTTGAATGGATTAATCTGTGAAAGCAAATTTTAAAATTAATTCCAATACGAATGTATAGGCAACTTTATTTACTTAAAATAAAATTCCGATTATGAAAAATCTCTTGGATCTGTCACACGTGCACTAATTCTTATTGTACAAAATATCGCAATTGTTAACATGATTTTATCCGTTTCATCTTACATGATATCAATTCCCAAGACGCCAAAAACTTTCTTGGCATAGCTTCTGGCATTTGATGAGACGACGGGGCACTTCAGCTTGCCTCGAGTGCATTTTGGGTACGAGCTAAGTACCTTGTTACCCACTTAACTATTAAAAATAACTTGGGCCGCTTCGGTTAGAAAGTCAAGGTGCATCAGACGAGAAAGGTCGTCAAATTCTAATTGCAATTTCGAAATCCACCTCATTGTCAATTTTTTTTGTTCTTCAAAATTTGAAACTTTTAACCCGCAATATCAGAGTTCAATTAATAAAGTCTTAAATTGACGTTCTGCAATTTAAACTTCTACATCTTGATAAATTGTTTTATAATAATTGCTGAAATCTCAACTAATGGTTCATCATTTTAAACACTAAATTTTACGATGTTTTTATTTACACTTTCCTTGTTTCACTCTACGAAATGTCACTTTGCAAGCGAATTCCCGCGAGTTTAACGATCATTAAAATTCACCAAATACATTCCATAACTGTAATTAGCATTCATAAACGGAGAATTGTAATTGTAAGCAATAAAACCATTTACGTCTGTTTAATATTACTTACACACTACTTCCGATTGATGTAATCTCAATGTAAATGAAATTTGTGAACAATGCGACTGAGGATTCGACGTGAATAGTAATAACAATAATGATACAAACAAGTAAAACAAATGTACCTTTGAATGTAGGTTTCATTCTTTTTTTTTTATTAAAAAATAATATGATGATGACGCTTCGATCATCAAAATCCAAAGAAACAAAAAAAAAACACTTATTTTCTTCATCATCTTTCAACAACAACAAAATATATATATATATTGATATGTGTCTGATACCTACCTTGGTCGTAGAGTGCTTTGTGTATGTAAAATATACGTCTTATATAAATCTTTCTTTCTTTTTAAAGACAAAAATTCAAAAGAAAATATTGCAATTTACAAAATTATAATAATAATCATCATCATCATTAAAAACAAAATAAATCAAAGTGGAACGATGCAGCATCGTTACAAAATCACAATCGTGTTTACCCGTTCCATAATTTTCATTTTTTTTTAATTATTACTTGAGACGAATTCTGTACTCTCTTTCTCTATCAATTTTTTTTTTGTTTTGGCTCAACAATAAATATGTACAACAAGATTTCTTTTTTTTAACTTTATCATTGAGTATTGGTCTAATTATATAATAGTAATTAATAATTAGGAAATAGTAAAATATAAGCGGTAATTAAAAGAAAATAATAAAAATTGAATAAAGTAGTAAGAGAAGGACAGTAATAATACTAAATAAATATTAATATGTATATATAAAACACTTGCTTTCTTCTTCTTCTCTGTTTCGTTCAGAGAAAAGTTTCGTAATAATAAAAATTTAAAAAACAAAAGGGGTGAAGAGGAGAATTATAACTAAAACGTTTTGCATTTAATACTACACATATACTTAAAAAAAAAATAATGTATATCGGGTTGTTTCTTATTTTTTTTTTTGGTTGTATATCTTTTGTAGCTTATATACAATCTCAATTGTACTAAGGTTTTTCCTCTCTCACTCTCTCTCTCTTTCACTAATTTGTATAATTGTTTTTTTTTGTGTGCATGGAAGTAAAACTAATTGATAATTTAAATAATTGATTAAAAACGCGTCTATAGTTTGAAAGAATACAAAATAACATTTTTGCCTCTCTTCTGTGTTTTTTTTTTTCTAACATCATAATAAATAATCTTCGTGTTTTAACAAATAAATAACAAAAAAAAATGTTTTGTTTAAACCTAAAATCCTAGTAGCTGCTGCTGCCACGATCATTTCACTCGTAATCATTTATACCGAATAAAAAAAAATGTCTTTTCCTCTTGCACTTGATAAAAAAAAATATGTAATAATAACTAAACTTATGTACTCGTGACTTGAGTACTTCCGTTCCTTTCGGGATCTTTTTCCCTGTTCGCCTCGTCGTTGTCTGGATTGTCCCAATCCTGTCTCTCGCCGGACGCGAAGAACATGTAGAAGGTGCAGCAGGCTGCGTACACGACTCCAGCAACTATGAAGACTATCCTCCATTTAGCTTGCGTTGGCTGCAAAGAAAGTTAAGAATTTGTTTATTTATTTCGTTGGTGCTTTGTGATTTTGATGGTTGAGAACTTACTCGACCCTTGATGATGTTTCCAGCAAAGATCGGCGCTAAGAGACCGGCCAAATTGGCCAAGCAGTTGGTGAACGACATGAGGATGCCGGCGAATCTCGGTGAAATATCCAGATGGTTCACTTTGAAGCCGGAATAGATACCGCCGTTGAGGCCGACGCCGATGGTCAAAATGGAAACGGTCAACCAACGATCGCAACCGGTGAACGCGGCACAAATTAAAGCTACACCTGGACCGTATTGACCTAAACAAAAAACGAAGCAACAAATAAACTCTGAAAGTTACGATTGAAGGTAAAGAAATTACCAATTCCGTTGAGGATTTTCCTCACGACGGTATGCGTAAAGTATTTCGAGTTCAACATCCAATCGGCGACGTGGCTGATGCCCATCGAGAAGATCCACATGGCCAAGTACGGGAGAGCTGATAGGAAACCATTCTGCAAAGCGAATTTCAATAATGTTATTGAGTGAATTGTGTGCTTTATTTTTAATTGAAAACATACCTTTTTGATATCAAAACGGAGTACTTGTCTCATGTACGTGGGCAGTTCGGTCATCAAAGTTTCGTAACCGTAATTGTGACCCATATGGGCGATCAGGATGGCCCAGAACGGAAGCGATTTCAGGATGGACAACCATGGAATTGGTGGCATCTGATGATACAGATAAAAAGTGTTATTGATTTGTATTGATTGATATGTTTGAGTGTGTGTGTGGTGCTTACGGTGATGCCCTGAGTGCCCCAAAGCGAGTTCAAGATGTACTTCCTCTCGTCCGGGTTGATCTTGGGATGTACTTCCGGGTCTTCGTGAACAAAGTACAGGAACGCCAGTGACCAGACGGTGCCGATGGCGCCGAAAACGTAGAAGATCGAAGGCCATCTTCCATCGGATACAGACAGAAGCCCGCTGAGGGGCATTGAAATCACTGTACCGAATTGGGCACCTAAAACATTCGAAACGATCTCTGTAGGTTCATCGTGACAGGGCGTAGGCGAAATTATTGAGAAAAAAAAATAAATAACGAAATAGATATCTCGAGACAAAAATTCTTGCACACATTATATTAGTTCTTAATTTCAAATTACCGAAACACACTTTGCGCTTTCAACCATAAAAAGAAATATAAATTAAATTTAAATAAATAGAAAATAATAAATATATCATCCACCAATGAATTGGTATACGAATAAGAGAATATATGTATATTTTATAAATATATAGAGAAAAAAAAAAGTAAGAAATAAAAACGTTTCTGTCACACACAAAGATATTATGGGATCAAAAAAAAAAAATAAATTTGTTCATACTTACATAACGGAATTTGTAGAGAGAGAGAGAGAAACGCAATCCAACCAAGTTTCAGCCCCGCTACATCGTTTCCCCTTTTAATTATTTTCAATCAAAACTAAGTTTAAGGTCAAAGCCGATTGGTAATAGCCTTTTTCAGCTTAATGAATTTGCCGCCGATTGCATTTGCGACGCGCGCGTTAATTTATATTTAAACCGAATTGCTCATCGAGCGCTTCAAGGAATTGAATTTGCTGCTCGCTGTTCGCTAATTATCCATTTGCTTGGTCCAAAGTTCGGCTTTTTATGTATTAAGTTACGACTACTGCTCGGGGAACGATGTAGGTGATCTCTGTAGATGGTTTGCGTTTCCTTCTAACGTAAAAGAATTGTTTTTTTTTTGTTGAAAATCCAATTATTTTTCTTTTGTTTGTTTTTTGTTTAGAATGCAGAAAATATTATAATACCTGCGTAAACGAACGCACCCATACGACTTCTCTCATTAGGTGGAATCCATTTTGCCAGAAGAGCGTGCGTGCATGGTACAATAGGGCCCTGACCAGAAATGTACACTTCAGTACCAAGACAAGGTACACAAGTGAGAACAACAACGCCGCATTTTTGCCATTTTCTTTTGTTTCGCGACGTTTCATTATGAAAATTTGTTATTAAGATTACATTTTGTGTGCGTGTTTCTTTTTTTTTTGTTTTTTTTGTTTGTTTGTTTTATACACAAAAATGGGCTTCTTTTCTCACTCCGTACAGCTTGCTAGCTTCTACTCACCTCCCCGAGTCCTTGTATAAATCTGACTGCAATTAACCACCAGAGGCCTCCCTCTTGAGCCGCGATCGGCACCAGCAAACCGAACACAGAGTTAATCAGCATCCCGACGCCCAAGAAGTAGATGTTTCCGTACCGCTTGGCCAGGATACCGAACGGAATCTGTGTGATCACGTAGCCGTAGAAGAAGGAGCTCAAGATGTAGCCTTGCTGGTCGAAATCCCATAAGAACTCCCCGTCCAGATGAGGAGGATCCACCTAAAAACAACAAATTTAAAGAAACTGTTAGAGCAACAAGTTATGTTACCTCTTCCTCGTCCTCCACGATGCCGCATTCATCATCAATCGGTTCATCGGAATGTTCACCTATCATATTCAAAGCCGTGTTGTTGACCATGGCGACGATGGCGACGGACATATTCGTCCTCATGATGTACGCATTGGCCATACCCAAGAACAGCATGAGCGTGACCATATGCCTCGTACCGAAACATGCTGAAAACACACAAGAAACAACAAAAAAATCAAAATCATTTCGCAACAATCTTCATTTTCTTTTTCCATTAGCGCAGCTCCGCGAACAATTTTCAATGTCAATAAATAGCGTGGAAAAGAAAAACATCAATGGATAACTGCGACCGATTGTTGTTACATTTGTTAATCCACGGTCGGCGCGCTCCATTATCGATGATACACACAATTAAGAACGATTTATGGACTTCGAAACGATATCATAAATTACGCTGTGTCATGCGAAATTTACGGAATTGGGTAGAAAGGAAAACTGTTGGTGCAACATATTTTTTCCGGACTTGTTTTTTGTTTTGTTTTGTTTTTCATGCCGGAAAAATTACACGTAATCCACTTGATCCACTTGAAACGCATTTGCACCACTTGAAATACGCTTATTTTTAGATCAAGTCGACGCATTAATTTCCACTCATTTATTTTTTTTTTTGTTTTGCTTTGTTTTTCCCCCAACCCTCGGGAATCCCATTGTTCAAACATCGAAGTAAGCAGCGGCAATAATTTAATAACAGACACATATATAGGAATTATCTGTTTATTGGCTCAAGATAATAAAAAAAATACGTATTCGCGATGGACGTCAACACTAACCTTCGGATTATAAAATATTAATCTCTCTCTCGGATGAAACGTACTTTCTTTGCGTTCCAAATTAATACAATTATTATTATTAATAATAATAATAATACTGCATCGAGCGAGAGAAATAAAACTAGATAAATTGATAAGTTAATACTTAATGCGTAATCCAATTCTCCTAATCTACTTCTAATCTTAATTAATTTAAACTGAGCCGTAATGAGTTTACATTTTGATTAAAAACTATGTTGCACAAGATGATGAAATTTGGCGAAAAAGTGACTTTTAGTTCGTTGGAAACTCCGCGGTGATTATGCCAGGAAAAGCCCATGCGTTCGTCTCGTGATCCCAATTGAATTTCTATTCAACGTGCATTGAGTTTTCTTTGCTCAAACTGTAACGTTCGTATCCATTACGTTTCGCTCGAAACGGAATATTTCATGGAAGTTTTTATTATTATTAGCGTAATTGCAATGTAGATATTGGCTGTGAGGTGCGCTCGCTTAAGTGGCAAACAGATAAAGCGAACGCGGCCTATCTAACTGAAACTGCAAGTTTAACCGAACCGATTATAGATTATGAAACTGGCATCGATTCTATTAAATATCGTCGTATTTTCAAAGTCAAGTGTGCGTAAAATGTGACAAGTTTCGATTCGGCCTTCAATTACATCGTTGACTATATTGAGCGAGAGAAAAAAAAATACTAGGAACTCTCGTTGATAAAACTTGGATCTTTTTGTGTTTTTTTTTTGTTTGTTTGATTCGATAACATTTGTTTACTATTTTCATTCGAGAGAAAACTGCGCAAAACGTTTCATTCATTGGGGGGGAATTTTCAACATCGTCCTCGCCAACTAATATTTATCGACCTGTCAATTACGAGTCGACGTTTCAATAATATTTACCACCAGCATTTAGTCATAAATACAGCACTTCATAATTTCACAATTAACCAGAAATAAAATCTTTTATATTCATGTAGAGTCTTTTCTTTTCATGTTCATTCTTTTTAATGAAAAATTACAAAAAAAAAACTTTGTTGATATGTATATTAAAATATATGAAGATTGTGGTTTCGTTGGTAACAAACGTGATGATGGAACACGCGATGCGTAATCACAGTCATTAGATAAACATTTGAATTTTGCGAAATCTAAATAAAAGCGGGGCTGTATGTAGTTAGTTAGTGCGCGAATGTGTGTGGATGTGATGTAAGTTCACGTTCAGGATGCGAATTGCTCTTTCTCTTACACACTCACTCACTAACTCTAAATTGAAACACGACACTATTAAACACGGGACAAGGTCTATTAATAAAATACATTTGTTTAAATTCGACAGTCGAATTCGATCCGATCGAACTAGAATTTGTTCAAAGTGAAAAAAAAAGGCTTTAACGAAACAGTTTCTTTTTTAATTTTCTTCCTACATTCACATGCAAACTGTAGCTAACCCTGTGAACTCGACTATCTGATTTTTTTTTTTTGCAAATTTCAAGGGGAAACACATCACAAGGATTTATTCATAATTTTTTCATAGACTTCTGTCTGCAGCCTCAAACGAATACGTTTCCAATTACGAAATAGACTACATGGAAACTGGAATTTGAACCTGTCTTTATTTATTAGCATTTAAGTATTCACATAGGCGTTTAAAGACCAGAAGCAATTAAGCTTAGAAAAATATATTTCAAACTTTCTTCAATTTAAAAAAATAAAATATACAGTTGAAATTTGCTTTAAATTCAAATTGATTTCTTATGAATAGTTTCTCTTTCAAAGTAGACCTGATTCAAACTAATTTCATAAATGTATAAGAAATTAAAAAAAAAATACGATTAATTTATCTTTGCAACTATTAATAAATGATAATTTGTGGAAATGGTAAAAATGAAAATTTTCAAATTAAGACTTTTAACCACATTATTGAATATTTTTTAAATAAAATGAGTAAATTCGAGTGATGATGGTTTTGCGGTAAAAAGAAAACGATTGTTTTAGTGCTCATTTCATGGTTCAATGAAGCAAAAAAAAAATCTTTTACATAATTTCTATTATGGTTTTTCCACATCCTATGTAAAACACTTTATGAGGAAAACTTATTAAACTTATAAAATTGTTAGAAGTTAAAAATAGAAAATAATTTAATTGCTTTTTATGTTCAAAACAAAATGATTGCAGTGAAACATTAAAACATGTATTATTATTATTTAGCAGAATGCAAGAATTCTTCATCAACGAAAACTGTGCCGTAAAATGATGATTTGCTTATGTATTTAAATTTTTGAGCGGAGTTTGCCGTTAATTATCTTCGGACAATTGCGCGTTTTAATTGCAATGAGCGTTTAAGGTACCAGGAAAATCGCTTACGTCGGTTACGGTTTTAATTAATGCCGCCTTTGTTTTCCATGCAAACACACTCAAAAATAGACGCGTTAAATTAATTACTTTTCTATTTGTATTTAACAAATTTCGCGAATTGAATTGACACACAGCAACTTCTTCACGGTTGATGGGGTTTCAATTAATGTTATGTTATGTATGTTAAATTGATGCAGATGCAACCTTCACGGTTGATAGTTCAAGTTCGTGAATCGCAGATTTACATATTATGTAATTTACTTTTGGCGTCGTCGCGCACACGGTTGATGTGTTCTAAATTTACCTTTTTTTTTCTGGTGATTCGGGGAGGACGTGACGCAAATTCGCGAACAATTAAATGATGAGGATGTCGCCAATTATCCTCATCGAATTGTTGTATATTCGTTGGGCATGCATGAGAAGCTGCATCATGTGTGTATTTTTATTTATTTTTTTTTCGTCAAAAAGTTAATTTTTTTTTGTCAAAGCGGCGTGGATTATTTTCAGAGTTTGGAATTTGGAACTCTCACCCGCCAAGAGAGTCTGAGTCCGGGCGACGACGAGTCGAAGCTAAGACGTACGGCTTTTGAAATTTCAAGAATTCCAGAAGCACGTGGCGTCCGGTTCTCTCTTTACATTTTTTCTCTATTCTCTTGTACACATGTGCACTGTGGTCGCAAGCGCAACTACGAATTTGTTATGGCGAATTTTCTGTTTTTCTTCTCTGGTGTAAAATGCGTAACGAACCTTGATGCTTCTTGGTTTCCGTTTCGTGGATGTTGGCTTGATCGAAGACGGCAATGTATCCATTCTTGTTGCGATCCTCGCCGGTCCTTGGACGACTCATGTTGAAGACGGTGAAGATGTTTCAACGACGACGACGACGACGATGATGATGATGATGCTTTCAGGCAATTACAACAACTTCAACGGCACGATTGATAATGACGCCAAAATTTATAGGTCATAATATTAATATCGACATTTTATTACCGGAATTCTCGCAGCGAAAAAAATCATGTGTATATATATAAATAAACGCACAATATTTTTTTTTATATTTTACAGCATGGCTTAAACTAAGCCTTTAAGCACCGCAGATCTCGACTGTTCCTTTCTACTTGGAGTAGTTTACTTGTGTATTATATATATCTATATATATATATATATATATAGATATATTTCGGTGTATGTGTGCAAGTATGTATAACTTAAGTCGCGACGTATAGATAACAGCACGGATGCGCGAAAATCCTTCCTTTTTGGTAGTTAGCAGCGGAGGATAACGAAATGAGCGGCGCGCCGGGACACCTCGACCGAATGAGTATGACTGTGAAATTCACTTCGGATTCCCTCCAACAAACACGTGCTCCTTGCTGCTCAGAGACACTACGAACAAAACGTGTTCGAGTACACACACAATGCTGACTCTATGTTACTATACTTTTAATGTATATATGTATATATATATACACGCAGTGTCGTAGCCTCTTCTGAACAGAGACAACCAGCACGCTCGGACCTTATACACATTTCGAATTCGAAATGGGTGGAAAAAAGAGCGAGCGAGCGAGCGAACGCGCCTCCACCTATCCGACTTTAAAGAATTTCCGCCTCAAAGACCCACCCTCATCATCATCATTATCGGTACATTTCTTCCCCTCTTCCAACAAAGCAGAGGTGGATGAAAGAGAGAAAGAAAAGATCGGCGACGCCGATGGACGCGTTCCAAGTGCGCTCTTTTCTTCTCTTCTTCTTCTTCTTCCTTGTGCGTAATCCACGTGCTTCGCCGTAGGCAACCACACACGCTCCAAATTTCCACGCATCCATTTTCCCCCCTTCAATAAACGATAATGCATCACTTTTTTTGCATTCAAATTTCGTAACGAAATTCCTGCGGACCAACGCAGAAAATGTTGTGCGCACCAAAGCGCCATTTTATTTATTTGTGTCGCAATGTCGCAAAAGCCAACAACTTTTCCAGGTATAAAATCCATTCCTACAATTCATTAACGATCCGCTCAAAACAACATTTAACAAAAACCGACTTCAGAATGTACTTATTTTAAGAATACAAAGAAGCATGATTCATTTGTTATTTATTAGTTAACATTTACAAAATGTTTCACAGCCGTAGAGATTATCCATGTAAAATAGCTTCGCATTCGAAAAGCACATAACTAACAACAAAATGGCAACGTCAAAATGACGGTTATTTAAACAATGAAAACTTGATCCATTTGCTGACAATTAAATAATATTTTCAAAGTGTTTCACAACTAAAAAGACTTTAGTTACAATATAGTAATTGAAATAGAAATAATTAAGCATATTACAATATTAATATTACAGGCTCATAACCAACCATAAAATGTCAACGTCAAAATAACAGTTATTTTATAAACTTTACAGAAAACTTGATTAATTTACTATTAAATAAAATTTTACAAATGTTTCACAATCATGAAATTTGAAATATACGTAATTCCCACTATTTTGATAATGGCAACAACATAATGGCAAGAATATACAGAAGCATAATTCATTTCAAGATGTTTCACAATATTAAAATTGTTCAAGACACTAATTTATATTTTTTTTAATTTAACTATATTCACATAAAACAATAAAATAATTCTGAAATGAATCAGATTCTAATAAACAGAAAACTAATAAAGAAAATAATTATTTATTTAAGACATGCAAATATTATTTTCTTATTACGTTTATAAGTGTGCGCCAATTTTAAATTCGTTGAAACACTTCTATTTTTATCATGTTTTCAACCAATTGATCATCATTTAAGAAGAAAAAAGGATATTTTCCTAACCAATAGGAATAACTGTTTAGTAAATACACTTTCTGTAGATTTTATTCCATCACACTTAAAATGCTTATTAGCAGCTGTAATTGAATGAAAAAGTGTTAAAAAAAAACCCAATTTTAAATGAGTTTGTTTTTTTGGGTTATATGTAGCAATTATACACTTTTTTAAATCGATTTTGTTTGTAATAATGTCCAATTTGTGTTTGGGTATAACCGGAAGGACAATTTTAAAATGTCATGCGCGTTATAGAATCACCATTGGATGTAAATCATTATTATAATTATTTGATTTTTTTTTACCTTCCTACAAGGTAAAAATGAAATCTTAGAATTTTTGTTACAAGGCCGGAATTAGCAGCTTTAAATTAATATCGAGAAGGTTTTATTTCTCTACGTATTAATAAACGCATTGAAACTACTGCGATCGGAACGTTCTAGAATTAATTACATGTTATTGTATGCATGTTGCAAATGCGAAACAGCATTGACTTTGATGTTCTACATTCAGAAAAGTCGAATGTAAAACCTAATAAATATTTCGTCTCTCGATTATCTGATTTCGTTGAAAGTGCAATCGTAAAGAGGATGATTCGTTTATGTACGCAACCACGTATTTCGTATTTCCCGCCTATTTTTAAACCCTGATTTATCGCTGCATGCGTCCAAAATTTTTGGCCGCGCATCGACGAATGTAACCTTTCGATTATTGAAATCAGATTTGGCTCTCGCACGTGGTGCACAAAAACCAAAACCAATTTCCAAAATGATCATTTTTTTTTTGTGGAAGGTTTCGGTTTAGGTAGAAAATCCCTTTTTCCATTCCGAACTACCTGCTCAGAGATTTCTCTGAGCAGGTAGTTCTGAAATGTTCGAGTACAAAATTTTGAGAATTTGAAGGAAACGAAAAATCCTTAGTCTCGAGATAAGATTCACGTGTGGGCGAGATTACATCTGTCCATGTGACTGTTGCACCTACGACGAACGTGTGGGGATGTATCGTTACGTCACGAGCAGCGCTAATTAAACTAATTACTAAGTAAACCCGTGACAAGATTACGAGTATTAAGCCGTAGGAATGAGAGGAATCGGTTACACCTTTGAACGTATTAGTCATGGTCTTATGTCGGGTGCTAAAATACGCGTAATTCTGCCTCATTTACAATTACCTCATTTTTTTTTTGTTGTTATTGTAAAATTCGCTATTTTCGCGACGCACGAGATTCATGTCCAATATATTTGCACGCGTTTCTCAGGTGAATTGCTTGAAAGTCGTCGACGCACACTATGTTTTAATGTTTTTTTTTTATTCTCTGTTTCCTTCCATTTGAATCCTTACTTTAAGGACTATTTATATGCAGCGCGATCTGAGTTATTATTATATACATAACTTGTGGGTTCCTCTCAAAATAGCCTCAATGCTACGTTTCCTCGAATCTTTTGCCGTGCAGAAAACATAAACAAAATAATACACATTTCAAGAAAAAAAAAACATTATTTGTTTCTCAACAAATTAAATTAAAGATATATTTTGAAATATGTCAATGTCCTCTCAGGCACGGCGCTTCGTTGCGTAAGCCTACATTAATAATTCATAAAATTTGAAGTAAATGAAAGCAAATTAAATGCGTTTAACAAGTTCTCCAAGTTCTCTTATAAAAGCGTCAGAGGTTTTACGCAAAGTTTCCACGAACCATTAGAATCGATACGGTATTCTGAACTGGCAATAGAGGAGAACATTGAAATCGTAAAATATTTAAATTGATTATGAAACACGTCTCGCATAGAAATATATTAATTACCAAATCACAAGAATTTCAAATCATTTCAATTTCACTCCGCACAATTATTTTTTATATATTTTTTGTTGAAGTACAATAAGAATATTTAAAAACAAAATACTTTTTATTATAGAAATTAAAATCTATGAAAGCAGAGATATTCTCGTGTTTTTTTTGTATGTTCTCTTCTAAAAATTGGACATTGACCGAAATTCGCGAGTCGCCGTCATTGGCATCGATGTCAATGTCAGCCTTAATGACCATTGGCTATGTTCTAAATCTCTATCTCTCGCTCCCCTTCTTTCCGCACACTAGAATATTTATATTCGCGATTTTCATTTGTCTTGAAAACAAACGAATAGCTTTGCTGAATGCGCGAAATCAAAAGAAAAGAAAACGATTGCACGAAAAATAATGCGAGCTGCAAATAATAATAATGATGATAATAATTGTAAAACAGTCGGTATTTACGTATAGGTGCAACGACACCAAAACCCGTGGACTTTGACTGTTGTTTTAAGGTCGTCCGATCGATTTTGCAAATGAAAGCAAAAGCCGATGCGTGCAGTTTTTCGGGAATAAAAGTTGATTGGAAAGGGGGCAACAAAAATCGAAAAACGAAACGCATTGACGTACATTTTTTTTTGTAGCAAGGATTAGTATTGTTTTTTTTTTAATTGATTTACGATCCAATTAGATTTCAACTTCGCGAGATTGGAAAACGGAACGTACTTAATCCCATCTTGTTGTTTCAATTACATCTCGATAATTTTTATTTTCGTTTCGTTTAATTTATTGTCAGGCTTATAAAAAAAATCTGACGAAATTGCGCAAGTCGTAAGAATTTAATCATCGAAATACGTTTTATTATATAAGTTATATAGATTTCAATTGTAGTTTAAAAGTTTAAAAATATTTTACATTTTCTGTTAAAAACGAAATTAAAGATTTTTCTTATAATTATGTATGTTTTTTTTATTATAATTATTTTACAATTCTACTTTTATGTATGTATATTTATGTAATCAGGAAAATACAAGCTCCAAACTGCTTTATTTTTTATAGTTAACATAGTTTGTTAATTATAGTTCACAAGGACATTTAGCAAAAACGTTAAACAACGTGTTTTCTGTTGAAAGGGTGATCCATAGCCTTCTATTTTTTAATTGTTTACAACAAATGGAAATAGATGTCACTGTAACATATATCGCGGACTGTAGTAATTTAGTACTATAGCAAATCCGGACTGATCGAAACCGCACTATTTCCTCGATTTTCATTGTGAATGAAAAATAATCCGAATCAATTTGCAGAAGTTGTGAGGGTACATTTTCTAAGGAATAAAGTGGACAAAGTTGTTATTTATTTTTGTTAACAAATTGAAGATGATTCGAAACGTGCCGATTGCGCAAACGAGTTATTATTTTATTTTTTCATTGAAAACCGAATCTGAACTTGGAAATGTTATCTTCAAGGATTCGGCTTATCGAAGGTTTCCCCAAGTGGAGAGGAAAAGATTATTTACAGAATAAATATTATTCGCAGCAGCCTCCTCCGATTCGCTTATTTCACAACAACAAAAAAATAGATGCAAACTTATGCAACTTAATTAACAAATCGCTCGAACAAAAAGTTTATTTGTCGAGGTGTGCATTAAATATTTATGCTTATAATTATTAAGTAACGTGTTTTCAATCATTTTTCATTTCAAATGCAAATTTTCTCTACCCACGTCAATCGTTAATTACGTGAATCATTAAACTATTCTTTACTTTTTCAGTTTTTTTTTCAATCACATTTTTATGTATTTTATTTGATTCAAACCCACGAAAAATGAACAGCCGTAATCGCACTTCGCCTCTAATCTGTACGTTATGTTTGCTTTATC